TCTCGTCGCCAGAATCGAAGAGAACAAATCAGCTGGTATGCTGAACATGTCAAGAAAACATGGGGCGGATACGTGATTTTTATGATCGCTCAAGAGCTATGTTTCCTTACCTGTTGGGGATATCCCAAAGAATATTTGTCTATGAAGATTTTCCCTTGATTTAAGATGAATTTTTCAATAACATAAACTACTAATTTATGTAATGATATAGTAAAATATGCACAGAATGTAAAAAACTCACTTTAAGTTGTTATTTTAGGGCATCATTACTTTTAATTCATAATAACACATTTTATTTATTAATATCCAATCCTTCTCAGCCTGGACCCATTCCTGGCATGCGACCGCCTATGGGAGCCGGAGCTCTGCATCAACCACAACAGCGAGGCAGTAGCATGGGCTTCCTAATGCCACTGTATACCATCGGAATCGTGGTGTTCTTTGGCTACACGATAATGAAGGTAACTTCATGTCAACTTGACAGCAGAATTAAGCAAACTAATCCCTATTCTCTTCTCACCCAAAGATTATGTTCAAAAAGCAAATACCAAATGCTCCTTACGGACCGGCTCCCTCGGATCCCGCTTTCCGGCAGGAGGTCTTCGGGCAGCAGAACCACAGCCAGGTGGAGGATTTGGGCGGCAGCAAATTGGGTGAGTTTCGTCCATGGAAAAATTACTCTGGTAGCTCATCACAAAAAAAAGGAATACAATAACTCATAGCCACTGCTCAATTCTGAAGTCAAAGCTAACCAAAACAAAAAATCCATTTTGTACTTTTTTGCTTCCGCCTGCGCACACCCGTACACCACACGCACACCCACCTGCGATCAGGCTGGCGCGAGCATCAGACAAGTAAGCCAGATAGATGGTTCCGATGACCGTAGAGTTTCGCATCCGTTCACATCTTGAGTTTCTAGACCTCGGCGGAGGCCGCCTCTTGATTTTTGAAATATGTCCTCCTCATTTGGTTTAGTACCTTAGCCACAATGTATTTTTATTATTAGTTACGTTGTAGATGTACTTACTCTAGATGTTGTGCCATATATGTATACGTATTTACTAACCCCGAATCCGGATCCGAATCATTTCCCATTGAATATGTTCTGTTACTCTCGTGCCACTTCTCCCCGTGTGTGTAAATACCCTTAGTCTCTCTAGTTAGTCTCGGCCCAGAATATCAATCTCAAAGCCAAATCGTACGCCAATTTTATAGGAGGAGGAACCAGAGCCGTCGCCGTGAAGTCGCCGGCTGCCAAGGACACCGGCAAGGAGCTCTACAACGCCAGCCTGTCGGCCACCGAGGTGGCCAGCAGCCTGTCCAGCTCGCTGAAGCAGCACCAGCAGCAGAAGGAGGCCGAGCAGCTGATGGAGATCGAGAAGCTGCGCCAGAAGCTCGAGAGCACGGAGCGGGCGATGGCCAAGCTGGTGGCCGAAATGAACACCGACCAGTACGAGGCGAAGGTTAGCATCGCCACCACCGGACACAGATAAAGATACAAATACAAAGATACAGATACACCTCAACCATTCAGATACATTCATGCCGAACATCACCGTAGTGACGTTTAGTTGGCCAACAAACGCCGTTCGCTATCATTTATTAATCTTTATCCTGTTCTTGTGTTTTCATTTTCAAGATGATTGCCATGAAGTTTCTCAAGCGGCAGCCAAACTTCTAAAAGCCAAAAATAACCACCATTCAGTTCACTTTATTTATGTAGAAACCAGTCAGTAAACAGACCAAAATCAGACCAACAGCTCAGACCACAACTAAGTACAAGCCAGCAAATAGATTACTTTCACGTTTTCGTTCCTAGTGGATAGCTGAAACCCCTTGGAATGGTTTTCCCCCGTGCCCGATCCCCGACATCCCACTTCTCTGTCCACTATCATGGCCCCCACTTCTCTCTAACCAGTGCATGGACTCTGTCTCTGTCCTGTCTCTGTCTCTGTTCTAACCTTGCTTGTCTGCTGTCGGCATGCGATGTAGTACGATATCTTCCATCTGCTTACTAACAACAAAACCCACTGTCTGAATGTGTTTGCATCCCACCGAGTGCTCTCGACTAAACTATTTTGATGGGGACATATTTTATACGGTTCAAGCAAGCCTTTCTCGAACTCTATTCGAACTTCGAACACTTTCTCTAGACCGAAACACCACATTGCCAATTAAGTAATCGCAAACCTCATTCCATTGTCTAAGCTAAGGAAACCACAACTTATATCAATTCTCACTCTCTGTCGTTCTACGTTTTCCATGTTTCTCACATTCATGTGTAAAACTCAATTTGTTAATGGGAATCCCGACTTGATATCGGGCCTTTCCTAGTTGTAACGGCCATACAAGGTTTGATAGACGCTGCCGATGAGCAATTGAACGGCCAAGACAAGCAGAGGGCGACGAGCGACACTGAATCCGATTCGAACAAGGTTAGAAGCCGCCAGAAGGGTCCGGCACGGCAATCCTTGAACACTACTCCTGCGGATGCCCACGTGAATCCGACTATTTAATCTTTTTGTTTGTTATAACCAAGATCCTTCGACTAATGAGTTTTGTTGCGTTTCACCTAACCACAACGAATTGAAGTAATTAATAATGCGTTTATTATTTTACGTTTTTTTTTGAGGCTGTAGAAGAACTGCTTAGACCTGAACATCTGCCTTTCAATAGAGTTTCTAACATATATTCATTTTCTTTGTGTGCTGTGTGCAGCAAAACGACAACGAAAAACTAGAGGCGCAAAACCTTTCCAACGGACATGCAAACACTACCGACCAGGATGCGGAGCAGGAGACAGCAGCAAAGGGAACCAGGACGCAACGGAGGCGTCGCGACCAGAGCGCTGAGCGCGAACTAACGGTAGGCACAGGGCAAACTATATATATATAGATTATCGCACTCGTAGATCTGTTGATGTATATAATCGCCTATGTATTGGTTCAGGTACTGGGCATGGAGTTAACAGCCAGTTGCGAGGGCGGCCACAAGTGGACTGGACGCCCTCCAACGCCTGTTTTCCGAGCACCAAACGAACATGTAAGTGCCACTGCCGCACACCCAAGTCCAACTAGCAAGCCGTAACCTGCATATATGTGTGTCTTAGTCCTAAGTTAAAGCGATATGATATGACTGATCGCTATCCCATTCCATAAACACCTACAAAACTTACTTCATGTAGATAGAAAATGAATTTTTAATTAACACTCCTGAGCTTTTAGTTATCTATATACGGGAGTACCATGGTTCTGGTTTGCCATCAGAATATTTAAAGTTCTCTAAAATATTAATAAACTTGTAAAACAAGTACATTTTCTGAAGATATCACTCATACGTACTGTATCCAGTACGAGTTTGGAGATTTTAGTTGTAAATGAGCGGTGTATTTATTCTCAAGAAGGGAGAGATTTTTTTATAATTTAAAGATGGTAACTTATTACTAAAATTTGTAATCATTGGGAGGCTTTAAAAGAACCAAATATATTTCCCTCTAAGAATGAGGTTATTCTCAAAACTTGCTTTTATCTTATTCAAGTTATAAATCCTTTGTATAATTATTTATTTTTAAGACTACTAACTAACCCTCTTTTTCACACTATTTCCCTATATAAACTCATGAATTCCCGATCCCCTTTACAGTCCAAATTGGAAGACGCAAATCTGCCAGAGCCGCAGTCCATTTACTTGGAAGGCGCCCTGGCCCACGAGTCTCAGATTTTGGTAGCCGACTCCCAGATCAAGCGCGAAGAGGTCTACGACGCCGAGCTGAACGGATCGGCCGAGGAACCAGCCGTAAGGATATGCTCCTAAGACACCTATGGTACATATATATTACTCATTAAAACCCTCATTTACAGGTCATTCTTAGCAGCAGAATGACTTTGTCATTGATTAATTTGGACGCAAATCAACAGAATGGCAAGCCGGCGGTGGAGAGTCCCCTGGCCGATGACATCGAGATAATTGGACACGACGAGCAGTAGACAAAAGCAGTATGCATACGCTATGTGTACAGATCGAACTTTTTAGATTTTGGCAATAACAATGACTTGATTTCTGATGAAACTGTTGCAAGAGCCGAGTGAAATATTTAGAAAATTTCGTTCAACGACGAACATAATGACTGATTAATACGAAACAGATTTGCCAATAATTTGATATCTAATTTGTATATACATATTGTATGTTTTGATATATTTGTTTTGTTTTTGAAAACGCCAAAGTTTTTGTCTCCCTTCGAACACAAACACTCTGTCTTTCTGCTCTCTTTAAGAACTCTTCCCATTTTGGTCAAAAGTAAACCCCACTTGCATGACAGAGAAGGTGGCAAGGTCGGTTAGGAACTTGCGCGATTATTTGTGAATACTTTTAGTTGCAACTGAGTGAAAAAAAAAACTAGTCTACCATTAAGCTAAGTGCATGAAAACCCGCATTGTCTTACTCTTCGCATTGAATCCTCTAGTTACTGGGCAAGGAAAATTACCTAGGCAGAACCGATCGATCGCACCTTATTATTACTGAAGAACTAAAGTTAGTGCCACTGCGTTTGTGAACCTAGTATAATGAATAAATTGAAAACCGGACTTGAAATAGAAATATGTTTTGTTTCGCTGGGATTTTGGATTTTTTAATGGTATAATTTAAGATCTTAAAAGTATTCTTCTTAAAATTCATAATTTCAGACTTTATATAATCTACGACTGAGAATGCAGTTTAAAATTTCCCGCCTTCTTATAGTCATTTATCGATATACGATAGCCATCAAATCAGTTGGACCGTATTGTCAGAAGAGCCAATCAGAAAATATTTTTTATGGTGTGTACACACTGAACAGAAAATTTAATTTAAATTATAGCAATTTATTTGTTTTGTACGATACCTTTTACAATTTTTTATCTTTTATTTTATAAATCTGTGTCAATTATACTTTGTTTTATTTTCGTACCTGACTTTTTGTAAAGATAAAAATAAAAAACAATAAAGAATTTGGTATTTCAGCGGAGTTAAGAAACGGTTACACTACACATTCTTTAACAGCTGTTTTTTGTCGATCTTGGAAATAATTACGTAAATTTCGGCAGGTTAGCAAATTTACGTTAAATCTACAACAATTCGGGAGCCTGTCCCACGAAATGGAAGCCTCTGCAGCCCCAGCTTTGGCCAGAAGTAACTGCCGCTGCTCTGGGAGCCGCAAAGGCAACGGTTGCTTTGCTGTTGGACCGATTTGTTTTTGGTTTATAGGCTAATGTTTTTGCATTTTTACCAGCAGCCAACCATGTCGTTCTTACGCTCCAAGTACTACGACCATCCCGATGGTGAGGATGCCTTCGGCAAGATCGTGGCCACCAACAAATACGCCGTCTCAGCCGGCCTGGCCTGGTCCATGTTCGACGTGCTGACGCTCTCGAAGCCGCAGGGCTATGTGCCCACGCTGGGCCGATTCGCCTACAACACGGGTCCCCTGATGGGCATGGCCACGGCATTCACGCTCACCACCCTGGCAGCCACAAACGCCCGCGGCAAGGACGATAAGTGAGTGTGGCAAGGCGCCTAAAAAGCTCTTTAGATGCTCAACCATTTCCCCAATTGCAGAATCAACTACTTCCTGGGCGGAGTAGCAGCTGGCGGCGTCTTCGGTGCCTGGAAACACAACCACGTTGCTGGTCTCTGTGCCGGCCTCTTCCTGGGTTAGTATTCACCGCTCTTACTGTGCAAAGTCTTTGAGATTAACCGACATGCCGCTCAATCTAGGCATTGCTGGCGTCATCAAGAAGATGTCCGTGGAACAGGGCTGGGAGTTCTTCCCCGACACCCCCCTTAAGCAGTACGGAGGCCTAAACATTGCCGAGAACGACTGGACTATCATGGCCGACCGTCCCAGGAACTGGACCACGGAGAAGAAGGCGTAAAGTCTAGTTTCCTAATGGTTTTAATGGTGATTCGATTAGAGAAGGATTTGGCAGTGTCAGTTCGCCTTGCAACCGAATAAAGCAAAGTGAGAAGTGATAATGTACGCCGAATCCGAGTCCAATCCTCAGCTGTCCCAGTGTAATGGTGCCACAAGCTGTTGGCCGGGCTTCGTTAGCCGCTAAGATATGCAAACGAGCCGAGCTGTGTCACAAAAACTTATCAACAGTTGGCGTGAATGAATGACGGCCCGCAATCGGCAACCCGGAGAGGCCAACGAAAAAAAAAACAACTAAAACTGACTGAAGCATGGGGGAAACGAGTCACGCTCGGAGCCAGCGTCTTATATGCTGGCTACAGTTTATTTCTTTATTTCCATCGGCCCATTTAAAAGCCATGAATGTGCATTAACTCATGTTTGGCTCTTTTCACTTTACCTGGCGAGAGGTGGGGAAGTGAGTCATGCCCCGAGCATACACAAGCATTCGGCACAAAGTGTCATCTTATGCATACTAATGCTGCTTCTTAGGTACTTTATGCTGAAGATTGGGAACCAAGAATCTATCGATATGCTGCTGCAGCTGGGCTTATGCACAGAAAATCCCTTTCAACCGCAGCCGGAGACTCGGCCAATTTCTACCTTAACCTTTGCCAACCTTAGAATCTTCTCTTGGTTTCTTTGTTGCGGTTTGTCGGCTCATTTTTGCTGCTTCTCTTTGGGGTTTCAGCTTGCCAGATTTATTGTTATGGCGGAAGAAAGTTTTGCGAGCGAGTGGAGTGACCCTTAAGCGGGAAACCGTTAAATCTTGGCTTCGATTCTTCGCTTTATGTAAGCGATTCTCAGGCGTGGTTCCCTGATGTAATACTCCTACTTACGATCTGATTCCGAAAGTTGTGGCACCCATTAGGCATTATTTTCGCCACTTACCTTGATCTTTCGTTGCCATGTACATGAGGCTCGCATCATCTGCACCCGCTCTGCTCTGGGCTCCAGTGATCTGAAAACCAGTCGAGCAGCTTGCTCGCAAATTGAAGTGCGCCTGGCCGAATATGTATCCGAATCGTACTATGACTCTGACTAATCTGTGGCAGCTGCCTCGACTCCACTCCACTCGGCTGCAGGCTGGCGAATCTGGTGGATGCGGCTGCTGTCACGGCTGTCAGCATGCTGGAGCATAAACGGGGGGATTTTCGCGATCGCCGCGTGATTTATGGGAGATGAATGCTGCGGGGATGACATCATCATTGCCGGCAATTCGCCTTGGGGGCATACGATAGAGATCGGTGAGTGTGAGTGCCTCTTCCCTGGGGATGCCTTAGAGTTAATTAAAAATAAAATAATTGTTTTTACTTTCATTTCCTGGACTCGTTTAAAGAGTTGTCCTCGAGGCCCAATGAATTGGTGGAACGGTATCCTTTATTCAATTCCCATTATCGTTGCCAGAAGCACCATCCCCTTTGGCGTTGTCGCGTGCCAGCAGGATCTTAGAATTGAGAATATGCTAATTTCTGGCTGGGATTACTACGAGTGTTGCTCCAACCCCCGGCGATTTGACATGGGAAAAGGGGCGAAAAGTACCCGGAAAGCTCTTAAATTAATGAAACACTTGAAGCACCAAATGAGACTGTTATTTGTTATGTCAAAATATTGAATACAGAAGTTGTTCATGAACAGAAGAACTTTCTTATATACAGCAGCGGGGAATAACAGTGGAGAAGGTGTAAAAATATATTTTAAAATCAAATAGTTACATAATTTAGCCAAAAGATGTAATTAACTCGAATTGCTCTTCAGTATATTTTATACAGGCTTTAACATTTGTTCTTTTAAATATATGACTTCAGCCCTAATTTGTTGACTACAACTGTAGAATATAATACAAAGTATAAATGCGAAGTGGTCACGCAGCTCTGGGGAAGTTGCAGCCGTGGCAAGACGCTCGTAATTAATCTTGTTGCAGAGTTGGAGATGCGTTTTTATGGAACTGTGCGCCGCCTTCCAACGCACAACGCAGTCGTGTAATCCTTTTAATAAAGCCCGCGCGCAGCTCACTTCAGGCGACACCACTGTCAAATTAATCACCACGACAGCGCCGCAGTTAAGTACTGCCTCCTGCATCTCTGGCTTCTGCAAATGCATCTCAGCATCGTCATCAGCATCTGCAACAGCAACTGCGGGCAGGCATCGAAGGTTATTCCGCTCCTAAGCCTCTCACAATTCTGCAATTAAAGATCGGCGCGACACAAAAGACGCAGGCATACATAAATGCCATTTAGGTGCTTGTGGATATTTGTATCTTTGTATCTTTAGATACAAAAGTGTTTATGAATATATAGAGTTGCTGCTGCTTTGTTGCTGTCATTCAATTGGTGTCAAACTCCAATGACTTGGAGTAGACTGTGTGGAATGATAATACAAAAATTGATTTATTTAAAACAAAATATATACATTTAATTAAGATTAAAGCATGTAAGATTAAAAGTATATAAATATATTTTTATATTTTTATAATAAATCATTTAATCACTTTTTCTTTTGTGAAAATATGCCAGCTGAGGCCACAGTATGCCGCAGACAACTTATGATACGAAATCAGGGACACAATTCATCATTGGACACAAAGCGAAGATCTCTGGCTCCGGTGCTGCAGCTCTTGGCGTCTGTATTTGGTTGCAATGACACTCGGGAACCCGCACAGCTCCTCCTCCTTCTCCTCCTCCTCTTGTCTCTGGCAAACAGACAACCGCCTCATAAGGCTGGGCCGACAGCAGAGATGCAAATGCTGCAGCCAGAGATGGGTATACATATATGCATATGGGTATGGGTATCGGATTCACTTAACCCGATCCGCATCGGGGTCATAAGTGCAGAGTAAATAAAACATTTTACGGCCGAGGCGAACGTGCCGCCAAGAAGACCGAAGACCGCTGAAGATGAAGCTGCGCAGCTGAGAGCTCGAAATGGAGAAGAAAACAAATGAAGTGATTGAATACGCTGCGCAGACGCAGCCGGGTGGGAGTTATGGGAGTCATGGTAAATGCGGAGGGAGTAGCCATAGCCATAGTCCCCAAATGACAACAGCACGCGCTGGAGACCGCTTCCCCACTCGCAAAAGATTGATTGGATTTTTGTTTCCTCTTCGAGTTCATCAATTCCGACAATCTAAATGGAAATACTCAAGAAAAATACATTTTTTGGTGCTGGTTGTACGTCAATTTAACACTCGCCCAAGCGCATATTCGTGTAATCGGAGATAGGAGGGGAAGAGCATACAATCAATCAATGGGATATACCCTGGGAATCGGATCTTCCTCGCTGAGATCTGTTGCTATGTTTCAAGTGATTATTTATTCAGAGCTATGCTTATCATATCTGATTAAATTCTGTAAGCTTTTCACATTTTGATTGACAGAAGCTAGGGGTTTAATAGTGGAATTAAAAAAATGTTGTTAATTTATTTAATATTTTTATAAAAGTAAAGATCAAGCCAACAACTTATATCTTTATTTTTATTCTTGGAAATCCATTGCAGATCCCCTATCGCATTTGCTTGTTTGTTTTTTTCGGATTTAAGACAGATTGCAGAGGAAAATATTTACTTTGTGGCGAATTGTATTTGATTTGGTAATAAAACTATGCATATAGAGGAGCATAAACCATGCAAAATGTGCTGCAGGGGAGTGAATAAATCAAATAGGAATTCGTCACATGCGATAGCTCTCAAAGGGTCGCTCCCTGTCACCATCCCTTCTGATCCTCACCAGCTTGCAGCTCCGCCTGGCTGAGATACGCAACATTTGCTGTAAATGAAGTGAGACACATGGTCCTTGGGCAATGCAATTCCAGGCCATTCGTTTTCCAGCTGGAAACGCAATTATTTTCAATTCCAGGCTGGCTGGAGGGTTCCTGTTCCTTTTTCTTCAACTAGAGCGAAGCTCCGCTTCTCCTTTAGCTTCTTTTGTTGGGTTTACATGGAATCAGTTCCCGTACAGTCAAGCCACCAGAGCAGAACCTACAGGGAATAGGTCTTGAATGCAGTGCCACTTATCAAGCTTCCACTGTAATATGCTGCTCCAACCCGGGTGCCATGCCCTTCTTGCTTCATTCTTTCACATGCATCATACGAGGAGAATTGCGAGTGCTCGACGGCGTCGCTGGCTGTTCAAGTGGCATTCTTCAACTGCCATTCTTCTGCACGCCGGGTCTCCCCAATCCCGATCCCTTCTCCATCTGAAGTGGCTTCCGTTCGGCTCTCCAGCATAATAAATCTCTGTGGAGGGGCGTTGGGCGAACGCAGCTCTGCGGTCGTGACGCATTTGAACTTTGCTTCCCATATTTCCAATCAATACGAGTCTGAGGATCGGTGCAGTGCTTCCTCAATTGATAACGCATAAAATTTAAGCACCACGAATTCGATTTGAGAGACTGGGGAGTATTTAAAAGCCTGACTTCGAGGCTTAAGTGAACTTAATGGCAGCTTCCAAGTTCGATCCATTAACATGTGTACGTTTACGTCTGTGGGTTCTTATGTTACGTATGCACAGCTAAGGGCAACACACTAGATACATGTTGGTATGTACACGATTTCATGTATAAAAAAATTGTTTAAATTAAAGAATTAAATTGAATTAATTATACGATGCTTTTGTAATGCTATAGAAAGTATTTTAGGAATAATATTTCATATAATGTTGATATCTCTTTAGCTCTAGGTAGTACAATTTTCAGGGTTCAAGTACGAATATTAACAGATTTCCTAGGTAACATTCGGTCTGATATTACTATATTGAAATATTTAGATAAATATCTACAAATAATAAATTCTTTAATATATATATGTATATGTCCGATATCATTAAATTTTTCCCCGCGACTGTCAAGGCAATTTATTCTTACAAAAAGTGCATTGGCCGCGCCGGCGCAAAAGAACTGAAGGGCGGTGAAAACAATTTCGGAAGCTTTAAGTTCCCCCGATTTTCCTTCACTGCGCATTTATGCAGGCCCCTGGGAAATCTGTGCGGCGCATTATTAACGATTCCATTAATTTCTCCCCGAATCTCCTTTGGCTGCTCTAATTATGAAAATGTTTTTGATGTGCCCTGCCT